AAAAAAAAAAAAAAAAAAAAAAAAAAAAAAAAAAAAAAAAAAAAAAAAAAAAAAAAAAAAAAAAAAAAAAAAAAAAAAAAAAAAAAAACCTGATGAAGAATAAGAACAAATAGAAGAAGAAACGACAAAGAAAAAAAGAAAAGAAGACAAAGAAACAACGAGAAGGAAAATAACACAACGAAATGGAGGAGAAGAAGAAGAGGAAGAAGAATGAGACAAAATGAAGAAGAACAAACAAATACGTAGTAGAGATGAAGAAGAACAAGTAGAAGAAGAAGAAGAAGAAGAAAACTTACCTGAGTTGGTGATGGCGGCGCAGGCAGTCTTCGTTAGGGGCAAGGAGGATGGCCCGGCTGGACGGCGACGACGGTGGCGCGCCGAAGGGCAGCAGGGTGATGATGACGAAGGCTCGACAGGGTGAAGATAACGATGGCGCGGACGACCATGCAACAACGGTGGGGAAACAACAAGCTGGTGCGGGGGGGTAGGGCGAAGGGCGTAGGGCCGCGTGGTAAGTCCCCAAGATTCGAATTCAAAATCTTGGGACTTCCGCGCCATCGATCAATGCAGATCGACGGCCCAGGTCCCCCAAAAACAAAACCTGAGAAACGGGGCCTACCGGATCCCAAAAAATATTGGGGTGGCCGCCAAATTTTTTTTTTCCCTCTAGGCCTTCAGCTTGCAGCGGCAAAAAAAAAATTCGAAGCGATTTCGGGGGCGGCGCTGTGGAGGTCCGGGGGCCTGGTCGGGGGGTCGCACGGCCGGGCGACCTGAGGTGGCCCGGGCGCCCGAGCTGGAAAGCTAGATAGAGATTCGATTTCAGAAAATAATAAATCCTATTTCCGAGAATATGACAACCTCCTATTATGCCTAGCCAACGAAATGCCGATAGGCTTCGCAAAATTTCAGCTTTCAGGAACCAATTTTTTGTGAAATAGAATGGGAGGTTTGATTTTCATAAAAGAATAAATCCAGTTTCCGAGAATATGACCACCTCCCTTGTTAACCTCTATGCCTAGAAAAACGAGATGCTAACATCAGAAATTTTTGGCTATAAATGCTAATATCAGAAATTATGGGATGCTAATATCAGAGAACCGAAATGCTACTATCATAAATTCTCAGATATTTGTTGCGTGAAAACCAAATGCTAATATCAAAAATTTTCAGATAAGACGAAATGCTAAGATCAGAATTTTTAAGATAAAACGAAATGCTACTATCAAAATTATTCAGGTATTTGTTGTGAGGAAAAAAAAGAAAAAAAAATTTGCAGAGATTTGATGAAGTCTTACTTGATTTACTAATAAACAATTGATCAATCACTCAATCAATCATTCAACAATTAGTAGATCAAGCAAGCTGGCTACTTGACTGGGTGACGCGTTGTCATACGCGCGAATAATAAATGTTGACGTCGCTTCTTTTGTTTCGATTTTGGACTTTTGGACGCGGACATCGCGCGAAAATTTGCTTCGTTCTTTTTGAATTTTCTTTTGAATTCTTTTTCGAATCTTGTCGAGCCCCGATGGCTCTCGAAATTTCGGACTTCTTTTCGGAATTTGTGTTTTTTGCTTTTTCCGCATTAAATAGGAATTTAGGAATTTTGTAATTAGGATTTTTCTTTTTGTCGCGCAACGCCTTTTTGCCTACTCGCTTCTTCATGCGGCTGCAATGGAATTCTGATTAGTCGGCGCCTTTAATCGTGTGTGTAACTGTAATTTTGGGCGGGCGCCATTGTAACTGTATCTTTCCTTCTTGAGTTTCGCCTTTCCCGCCCTTCTTCTCTTTCTTTTCGCCGAGTTTTGGTAGTCACGCTCTGCATGATCGGATCGATACGTGGAGAGTGGCTACGTCCCCCACGCCGCGATTGGGCCATGCAGAACGTAGGCGTTCCTTCTCTAATCTTCCTTCTAAGTCCTTGTGATTTCGTGTTCTTCCTGCATGCATGCACGCTATAAATTCCGGTTGCGCGATTAGTTACCTCTCTTAACCAGCTGTTGGAAGCTCGGGGCTGCGTGATCAGAGAGGGTCGGCACACGAGCGAAGTAAGAGGTGAGTAGAGCAGGAGTCGGGCGACCCGACGAGCTGGTGCCAAACGCGCGGGGTTGACACGGGCCATGACGGACTGTGGACGCGGGCGAACCTGACGGGTGCGGGAGGACTAAGCGGGGTGACGGCTTCGTGGGTTGGTGAGCGACGACGGACTGTCCGCATCGGTGAGAGAGAGAGGAAGAGGGAGCTGAGGTTGATGGACGCGGATTTGTTGTTTCTTTTATCTTTTCTCCCTCATGTCTCGTGTATATAAATTTTGATTCCGACTCTGGGTAATTTGCCCGTTTCTGGTTTTCGGAATTTGGACTTGGATTTTTGCTCACACTTGTCCTCACGATTTCCATCTCGGATATATTATGTGTATGAATGGATGAATGGATGTTATGTCTGATTGCGGATTCTCATGCCCGGTCCTTGCCTTTGTCTTTCGTCTTGACGTATTCGTGTGAAACGTAGGAATTTTGCATAGTCACCAATGATGTCTTCATTTTTGCTTATCTTTTGATTGACCTGTTGTGGTTATTGCATCTTGCATGCTAAAAAATTACGGAGTGATTAGACAATCGAATGTCTGGCCCAGCGAATGCCGCGCGAGGACGCGTGTAATCACGACCTTATCTGCGCATTTACACGTGTCCCTGTGCGTCGATTTGTCAATTGCAACTGTTTGATTGGATACGACCATCCGGGGTCTGCGACGGAGCAGTCACACTGTGCGAACACGCGTAAGCGCGACTCGATTCGCGCAGCCAGCACGTGCTCGCACGCGGTGATCACAATCGGCACAGACCCGCCCTTAGGCGTCTCGCAGCTCTGCGATGACATAATGACACAGTCAGAGAGCTCAGAGTCGTTGTTGTACGACCCAGACTATTTCACCCCTTGGATAGAGGAAAGTATCTGACAGAGATACCCTTGCCTGGCATAAGATCGACTGTGTCCTGGGGAGCTTCACTACGCCACCACTAACGACCCCACTGCTCATATTTTCCCACTCAAGACCACACCCACTACTTCACCCACCCCGGTTTTATCGTTATCTCCACCAGCTTCCCTCCCTTCCGTCTTCTTCTTCCGTATCATCGATTCAGCGTCATCCCGTGGAAGGCAATAGCCCTTTACTGGCCCAGCACGCCCTGCGGAAATTGTCGACGACGCGACAACCAGAGAGCTCCGGAATCCCGAAAGCCTAACCCGAACGCGCGACGACCGGCGCCACGTGGCAACTTCCGACGGCCTGACTCATCGGAACCCCACCCACCCCGGAGGGATTTTCCAGCAAACCGCCGTCCTCAGAACCGATGGGTCACACGGCCTTGAATGACCCGCGCATGCCATCTGCCTTATGACCAGAAGTGGTCCGCCCTCTCCGCCAAATTGCACTCGTGCCCTCGAAAAACTCTGCCACATGAGATCTCGGTTCTGACCTGGGACTCCACCCCCACTTTTCCAAAAATCCTTGGCACACCCCTTGTCGCACTTCCATACCCACACTCTACTCCGATCAGGAAGTCGCGCTGGGCGTGAGGTTGAGCGTCACATCGAACGACACTCGTCATCCTCGGAGTGAAAATTTTGTCTGCAAGCTCGACACCATGGTGTACGGGCATGCACGACTTCAATTTCCACATACCCCCGCTTCTGCATGTCGATAATCAGATATGGTTTATATCGGAGGCGCGCCTGTGCCTCCAAGTCAAACCTAACATTAAGTCGTACTTCTTCAAAATTGATCCGAAGTTTTTTTTAACCGCAGTCGCCAGGTACGGCAGGGCAGCGACGGGAACATACATACAGCTAATCCAAAAAGAACTAAACCTCATGGCCTCGCGCCATTCAAACAATTCGTTCTCAGGCATCCAAGGTTTGAAGGATAGAGTATATTTTTTTCCATCCAAGATAATTTCGTCTTTTTTTTTCCTAAGCAGCCATGTTGCAATTTCTTTCGCCGAAGCCACATATGTGACCAAATTGAATCCCTTGTTATAAAAGATTCCTCTCTTTAGCGGAGCACTAATTGCCCTGCTTTTTGCCCACCCATTTTCATGCATCCTGATTAAGCGCACCTTGATGGAAATCGGAAGGGATTTAGAGTCATTCCCAAAAAATACCGAAACGGCGTTTTCTTTGAGCCACTCTTCGTGAACAGCGTAGACCTCGGGGTTGACCACCACTCTTGCAAAGTCTTTCCCTATTTCCACACTCTCAGGATTGAGTTGTTCTGGGAGCAAACCCCCGTGGTAACATTCCGTCAGGATCCTTTTGATCTTGTCCTTGTCCACTCCGCCACTGGCGAGTGGGGGAGTGGACTTCGAGGTTGTGGGCTCTTCCATTTCGACGCAGAAAACAGTCAAAAAGTCAAACAATAGAGATTACGCTAGCACAAACAGTTAAAAAACGTCCAAGAAAACAAATCAGGAATTCAAAAGGAAGTTAAGTTACTGAGGCCTCATCATACGGGATAATTCACATGGTTTCCCCACCCCCCCAGGTTGAATAGGCCGAATTTACCCCAGAGACTGCTTGGGCGCTCGAAGTCGTCGCTGAAAGATATTTCCCACTGACGTTAATCCTTCTATGACGAACTTCCGCACAGTCTGCAGCCTTTGACATCTCCTGATATTGCCCAATTCCCCGAGCCACTGGTACGTACTTGACCCTCCTTCCAATAAGATAGTCTAGAATGGAATGGGAAGATGGATCGAGCACAATGGATGATGGTAACAGCTATGGCCGTAGATACGTTATGAAAGACGTCCAGCGGCAGTTGGGCTCTGCTATTCCCTAACCCTAATCGATTTGGCGCAGCGCGCCGCCGAAGCGGCGCTAACTCGCCCGATTAGCGCACGGGATTAGCGCTCCCAGTCCTACGGACCAGCGTACCCGCCGGCCATCTCCTTTCTGGACCCGGTTTCCCTGGACCCGGTTTCCCTGGACCCAATTTCCAGTAAAGCCTAATCTGGGTATTGGCCCCAGGAATTCCGGGTTGAGATGTAAAGGGATTCCCGGCCTCAGTTCTCCATTTTTTTTTTATTTTTTTTTTCTATATGCTTCTCTCAACTTCTGTTTCTTTTACCTTCCACTACCTACTCCTAAGACTATCTAGAGGGGACCCCTGCAAGCATAGTTTCCTCTCTTTGTGAAGGGGAGATTTCATGTTGTCCCTTGCCCCTAATAGTTAGGGTATAGGGTTGGGGCTGCCAGTGGGGGTCTGGCTAACACAAAGACCGAGACCTGCCAGTAGTTGTGCCTCCCTTTCTCATTGTCCCCCACCCTTCATCGAGTAGCAGCAGAGGCTATGGCCAACACTCTCCCACACACCACACACAACCCACTCGCACTCACACTCACACCCGCGTTGGTCATAGACCCCGCTAATACCGATCAGGGGTATCCAGAGGACTATCACAATCCATTGGCACTAAGTGCGCCGCAGGCGGCCATGGGGCTTGAACCCACAACCTCAAACTGCGACTTCAATTAAAAAAAAAAAAAAAAAAAAAAAAAAAGCTGCCCGGTTTCCATGCCCAAATCCATGACCTCTGCGACATCAATCCCTGAGATTAGAAATGGGGGGGTGCCACTTCACGGCGCAGATAACGCTCGGTCCCACCGCCACCGGCTAAGGCCGGTCTAGCCACCTGCGGCCAGCCACCAAGGTTGACCCGCACGTTTGTCATGCACACGAAGCTCAGCTATGTTTGACTCTCAGGTGCTGACGGGTTAACCCTCACCATCATCATCATCACCACCCTCTCATACTATTGGTGCTAAGCTACACTCCATCCAAATGTGAACATAACCTGACGATATTAGTTTTATACCAGTTTTGCGAAGGGTTTTTCCCTTGGAGATATTTCAGAACATCTCCACTAAAATTGCATGCTCGCTCGACGGATATGGATCTTCCTCCAAGAGAAGACACGAGAATGGATGGGGAAGGAGTCCAGCCCATCCTAATGGATCCGCCTACACCTTTGGGGGGTGACGTTGGTATGGTGGGAGCAGAAATCGAAGCGACAACACCGAGACCGCAAGAGGGAGTCGAAGATGAGGTAGAAGCTCAGAACCGATCTCTGCCGCCATCACAGACCAATTATTGGGCTGAAGAAGAGCGCGTCAGAGAAATGCTTTACAAATGCTTCGATGCAGGCTTACTACCTTCTCGTTGGGACATTGGGGATATGAAGGTGGAGGGAACCAAGGCTCATTTTACCTTGAATCCGACGTTCAACGAAATCAAGGTAAAATGGTTGAAAGAGAGGACGGTAACGGTGATCTTTCAGGAAGGTTCTAAGAACCTCCCTAAGAAGATGAAAGAAGACGTGATAAGAGCATATGAGAATGTTTGGATGGGCGAGGCGAGATTTGACCCGTCAATAACTAGAGGACGGGTATGCATAGAGTCGAGCAATGTCTTATCTTACGTGGCGAAGGACAGAAAAGTGGTGGAATGGATGCTGGATGAACAAGAAGCTCGAGTCTCACTGAGAGGAATATGGCATCGCATTTGCTTCAAGCCATGTATGACTAAGAAGGAGATACAAGAGGCGAAAAAGAAAGCGGAGAGGAACTATTTTTGGCTGCGGATTTTGGATGTGCCTATCGATGCATATTGTTACTTAGAGTCGACGGTAGAACTCTCGATCGGACCGATTCATAAGGTTTACCCTTCGGAACGGGATGCACGCACTCTGCGGTTAATTAACATCTGAATGGATGTCGACGTTGAGTGCCTACCAAGATTGAAGGAGACTCTATCATTCACCACTTTTCAAGGGCAACTGATAGAGCTGAAAGTGGCCAATGCACTTACTCCATGGTGTAGTAAATGCAGGCGTTATTTTCACCTTGCGGACAACTGCACGCGTCAACGACGACCAAGAGCGCCAAGCCCTGCACGCCGGCCAAGTCCAACTCCAAGTGCAGCACCAAGTGCAGCCCCGAGTGCAGAACCTTCAGAAGCATCAAGTGAAACCAGTCGTCATCACCCGCCAAGCCTACGAGCAGGATCAAGCCGCGGACACGTGTCCTCTCCGAATGCATCAATGGCAGCTGGATCAGAGAAATCTCGTTCTATCTCCGGTGAACGGCGCAAGAAACAACCTACATATAAGGGCGATTTGGGTCCGCTGGGGGGCAACACGACTCCAGCTCAGGATGTGCTGCAACAGATGGCGTGTAGAGATAATCCGGCCTTCTCTCCATATATCCAAAAATCAGCAAGCATCCAATACAGAATTCTAAGGGATCGAAGAGAAACGTCAAAGTCACAGGGATCGAGAGAAAAAAAGGGGGAAGGAGCAGGTCCTTCGTTCTGATCATCAACTCGGGAAGGCAATAAGGGAAAAGAGGCGACTAGCTCACGATTGGAAACCACTCCAACGAAGCAGAGGCGCAGGCTTAGTAAAGACATGGACGAACTCCAAATTCAGGACGAATTGGTGGAGGAACACTCTTCACACCTCGCAACTTCGTCGCTCCGGGGAACAGCAGAGGGAGGAAAGTCAACCGTGGCAACAAGAAAGAGGGGTAGACGATAGATAACGACTTCCAAAAGTAATTATAGAGAATGGACAAAGCACCTACTGCCACTGCTTTTCGTAGCAACCCAGGAGGGAACCTTCGTTCTCGCTTGGGCGACTAAGGCAACGGATACTTTCCTTTCCTCACAACCGATAGCCATCCCACCGCTACCCCTAGAGATTTTGAATATCACTCGGAGGTTATATGGTAGTGACATTGCGGTAAGGAATATCCTTGATATTTCCGCTCCGAGATTTTTCATTGAGAAACCAGGACTGAGGGTAAAAATTTTCACTCCTTTATTAGACGCTCGTGTCTCTCAAGACTCACTGACGCGCCTGGTAGGTCAAGGCCTATGCCTATTCTCGCTGAACTGGTTGGCAACGGAAGATCATCCCGAGCTGACTAGGATCAAAATCCTGGGGGATGTCGATGCATCAGCCCTAGGCAAGCTATGCACAAAGATCCCGAAGATGAGATCTCTCTCGACCCCATCATTTTTCAATATTTTGACACAGCGTTGGAACACAGGCATGGCGGCTACCACAAACGGTCCATCACTGTCTTGTTCTCTAATCCCTTCTCGTCGGATCCAATCAGGGTCTGCTGCAGGATCTAACAATGCATAGAATCAAGGTGGCTTCGTGGAACGTACGAGGCTTGGGGGATACAGGGAAACGGAGGAAGCGAAGTAGGTTAAAGTCGTGGATTCACTCCAATTAAATTCAGATTATGTGTATCCAGGAGACTAAGTTGGACCAAGAGAAGATTGAAGGACTTGGCGCATGGTGGGATGGCCCACAGATTTGGGCGCGAGCTACGGAATCTCTCTTTCTCTCTCTCTCTCTCTCTCTCTCTCTCTCTCTCTCTCTCTCTCTCTCTCTCTCTCTCTCT